GGGGGGGGGGGGGGGGGGGGTACTCATGTAAACCCATGCCGTAGCCGCTAGACCATTAACCTCGCACCCCTATTCACAACGTCGGGACATGCCGGGTCTTCGCCGGCCCAGGATACGTTTCACAGGCATGAACCAGATATGCCATGGGTGGGGGGAAGGATCTCGCCGCAGTCGACACAGGATTCGAGGCGTGGTGTGCATACCCAGGCAACCAAGGACATGCGACAGAGACCCCTCTCTCAGTTCACTAACACCAGACGAAAAATGACACCTCAACTACTGCAGTAGCAAAGGCAGCGGGTTGTTGCACCTGTAGTTTTTCTCAAGTGTGGTATTATACCAAGAAACAAAAAAAAAAACGTACACGCAAACTTTTGTGAGCACTGCTGTCACGTCCGTCACCGTACAGGCTTTTGCTGCCTGCCCCCACACCTGCACACCCGCGTGGCAACCTTACCGCACAACCAAACAACCACCCCACCCCACCCCAACCCAACCCAACCCAACCCAACCCACCTTGGTTCCGTGAGAGGCATGAGGCACCGCATCACCACGTGCCGGAGATGCTTCCTGAGCACCGGAAGGTTGGCTATGTCCATCCCCGAGAGCGCCTCCAGGCTCATGTGCGTCAGAGGCGGCTCCGAGAACCCCACCCACAGCCGCTTCACGAAAGGGCGGCCATCTCCCACCGCCATGGCGACGACTACCTACACCGGACACGATACCATTAAAAAAAAAAACAGGACCGCCGTGTGGTCCGTGTTTATTGGTTGGATTGTTTGTTTGGAGGGAGATTTGATGTTAGCGGCCGATTTCAATCTTTTGACTCGCTGCCCCCGAACCACGCCAACAACAAAATTTCGGCTGGACCACCATGAAGTGATTCGTGTGGCCGTTCGCGTATTGAGTGTTGCGACTGCCGATTCCTACAAGCGGAGAAACACGGAGAGAGAGAGAGAGGTCCCGCGGGCACCGTGCTGCAATGCCATCGGCACCGCACACACACTGTACGGATTCCAAGCGAATTCCCGAATTGATTTTTCTCAATACACCAGCACAAACAATGCTCGGCGTAAGCGCACGCAGAGCAAATAGAAGCGGTTGAAATCACGCGGCGAGCGGGTGCAAACCAAAACCAAACCAACCTCCGACACGCCAGTCTCAGTGACAAAACCGGACTTGGGAGTCAGGAGCAGGGGAGAGTTAAGTCCTCGAGACTTCCAGTCAGCGACCTTGAAAAGCGAGTGTTGACATCCACGTTATGTTTCTAGTAGCTGGGTCCATTTCCGAACCTTTTTGACAACGCGCCGAAAAATATATATGTACCCTGTTTTCTGGAAAAAAAACAACGACTGTTTCCGCTGATCACGAACTCGCTCGAAGAAAATATAGAGGTAACGCTGTTGCCCCTACTGTGTGTTCTTGGCAAGAAAAGACCCGCGTGTCGTGCGTTCGTTCGTTCGTTACCTTGCCCTTGATGCCGAGATCGCACAGCTTTACGCGGTAGGTCGGGACGTAGCTGCTCAGGCTCCACCAGTTGCGACGGCGGGACTGCTCACCAAGCTTGAGGGAAACCTGTGGCGGCAAGCGGCGGCGGTGGTTGTCATCGCCTGGTTGTTACCGCCATTCCTCGGGAAAAGCAAGAGAGAGCTTTCAACGGTATCCCCACTACTCCGGAGAAACAAGAGACAATGTTCGTATTAGCGTATCGTACCCATGAGACAGGTAGTGGGTGTCTCTGATGACGACGACAAGGTCGACGGTATCACTTCGGGCAGACAAGAATCTTGACAACAACGCATACACGGATATTGTAGGCCGTACTACATGATGACGAGATGCCAGACCGAAATACATTTGCATATCAAGGGACGCAGTCACATGGGTCGGCGCGTGACCCACACAATTTGAACATGCTTCTCCCAAAAACAAAAATAAAGACCTTTGCCCCCCCCCCCCCCCCCCCCCCGCCCTGTTTGGCCTCCGGGGTTTGGGTTTTCTCCCTTGGGAAACAACTTTTAAAAAAAACCCCCCCCCCCCGGGGTTTACCATCCGGGTTGGGTTTTCCTCCCTTGGGAACCACCTTTTAAAAACAACCCCCCGCTCCGTGTTTGCCCTCCGGAATGGGTTTTCCTCC